GAGCCCCAAAAGTGCCAAAAATGACGAGGGTGACCTACATATAGATGTCTATTTAAAAATGTTAAATTGAGTTTCAAGTTACAAAAAGGACAAGCAAGGAACGATAAAACAACTTATTTATTTAGAAATTATGTTTGCGTTCACTTCATTCGTAGAACGGTAGGTGACTTTGGGATGCATCAGTAATTTACTTATTTTATTCTCTAATCTTCACTTCGTCGTCATAGTTGGGGTAAAACGATCTATAAAAACCATTAGAAACATTATGGAATATGAAAAACAACACAAAATGTGAGGCTAGTAATAAAAGTTTAGAAACAAAAAGACTAACGAGGGCACAAGTCAACTGCCTTGAAAAAGTTCAAAACACCTGTGCTAATAACAAAAATAAAAATAAAGTGTCTATGGCTTGAATGGATCAATAACAATGGATTAGTAAGCCTTCAGAGCAGACAAAGATCAGCAAAGCATGTTCATGCTGTCAAGTTGGTAATTTATCTTACATCTCCCTCCCTCTCTCTGAACATAAGAATTCTAGTTACGGCTAAGCTCGAGCTTGTAATTTTCTTACATCTCCACTCCCAAAGCCCAAACATAATAAATGTTTTCCTAACACCCCACCCAACCCAACTCAAACCAACCCACGCACCGACCCACATTGGGTCTAGGTCGAGGTCCTAAATTTTGATGGTGTATTAATTTTGTGTTACACACGTCTTCTATAACCTTCAAATTTCCAATTCATTTTCATGAATATCAAAAAATAAATATAAAAACTCATCAATTCAAATAAGATATGGATAACTTCTCAGGATAATTTTAAAACATTGACAAACAACTCTTTTTTCAATAGCTTATGATTATAATAATTTAATTTATGTCAAGCCATTACGTTGTAATTATATTTTAGTAGTGGTTACGTCGGAATGCGTTAACAAAACAAAAGGTTTATTATTTCAGATAATTTGAATTTTCTGCACATTCATTAAATATTGTATTGTTTTATTTAAAAGCAAAATACATAGTGTACTTAGAAATTTCTTCTAGTCAAGAATTTATTTTAATTCAAAAGTTTGAGAAAATGAAAAAAAAAAAAAAAGTAAATATTTGCTTTACCTACCCTTATTTAGAAAAATTACAAGTGAGGTATAATGAGATCGACATGTAGATTTAAATATTTTGCTAAGAAACTCAAGAACCTTGAGGTTGTATTGGACTTGGGGAAGGAAATTATCGAGAGAAATTTACAATTCACGATCGAGTCATGCTACTTGTACAAAGATAGGTTGCAAAATTGGTTTACAAAATACGTGTTGGCAACATCTTGGTCAATGATTTGAAAAACGATTTTTGAAATCAATGATCTAGATCTTGCGACATCATTTTGTCAACTCGCTTTTGTAAACTACCTTTGTGCAAGTAGCATAATTGTTCACGACCTTGATACAAGGTGTATTAACATTTTGCACTCTCTTTTATGACTAATGGTTGTTAGTAAACATTTACGAAACTTATAAAATTACGAAAGTACCTTATATGTTAAAATAGTGACGAAGATGGATGCTTTAATTTAATTTATGTTATTTTCTATTGACTTTTATTATCTTTTCGTTGTAATTTTACTATTAATTAGTTTTTATATTTTTAAAAGAACTTCGGGACCCAACCCAAGGGTTATTTTAGATTACAATTTGCATTGTGGATTAGATTAAAAAATATTATAAAATTACGATATTTTCTCTAATTCTTCGACGAATTCTCAATATTTACATTTTGAATCAACGAATATAAATGTCAAGTATTCGGGCTCAAATTAATGAATAATTAAAAAATNATCATATAATAATTCTAAAAAGGTCCTTCTCTCCAATTTGTAATGTGAGTATTGAGAATTAAGTGTAAAAGCTTTGGTTAATGCTGTATAACTGCTTACAACCCCTCCAATCTTCTTCTGCTCTCATATCAAACGATTCCATGTGTCTCAAGAGCAATGACCCTCCCCCTTCCCCAATTTATATACACGTTTTGGTTTGTTTGGAAAATATGAATAAAAGATAAAACTTCCCCACTATTTTTCAATGAAAACTTAATATTGTCAACTTGAAAATCCAGTAGTATCACTGTGAAACCCAGTTCAATGAACACTACATACAAATTTAGTCCATTTTGTCCCAAAGGTGATGCTGACCAAGCAACGTATGGAATTCCCTTGGGAGATCTGGTCAAATTTTTCCTCATATTTTGGCTTATTTTGCTCCATCCTTTTACAGTTTGTTTTTTATTATTGACATTTACTGATTCTGTAACTCTTTTGCTTTTCATCTAAGTACTTCCTTCACCGAAAGAGAAGCATAATAAGTTCATGTTGAGAGAGCTCGTGAAAAGATGGTCAAATCATAAAATCATGGTCCAGTGTCTGACATGGTTCTTCCGTTAACTCGATAGGTATTTTATTACTAGGAGGTCACTTCCGGCTTTTAAAGAAGTTGGTCTAACATGCTTTCGAGATCTGGTAACTTTTATTTGTATTCCTTCAAATTTGAAACAATTGATTATTTTTTCCACTTCTTTCCCTTTTTTCTGTCACCTTTTAAGTTCATAAACCGTGTTGGAACCTGGACTCTCTTTCAGATATACATAGAGTTAAATGGAAAAGTAAGGGATGCAGTTATATCTCTTGTATGTTTCAGTGATTGTTCCAACTGTTTCACTCTCTCTCTCTCTTTTGCTGTTCAGTTTAGTGAATTATTTTTCCTAATCAGATTGATCAAGAGCGAGAAGGTGAGCAAATTGATCGTGCTTTGCTGAAGAACATATTGGATATATTTGTTGAAATTGGAATGGGGCAAATGGATTATTATGAGAATGATTTTGAAGAAGCAATGCTCAAGGACACTGCAGTATATTATTCTCGGAAGGCTTCTAACTGGATCTTGGAAGATTCATGTCTGGACTATATGCTGAAAGTAATGTTTCCTTTTAAATGTAGAACCACCTCACCCCCCCAGCCCCCACCCCTCCCCAGTCATTCACACACACACAACAGGGAACAAGTCCACAAAAATACTCTTCTTATCTACACGATTTTTAATGATCTTATGGCGTTCCAGGCTGAGGAGTGTTTGAAACGAGAAAAGACAGTGTGTCTCATTATCTTCATTCAAGTAGCGAGACAAAGTTGCTTGAGGTTCATTCTTTCTTGAATAAGTATGATGCCTTTATCTTTAGTTTTTATACAATCAGTAACCTTATTTGTTCTGTGAATTTCATAGTTCATTTCCATATGATAAATAACTGGGCAGAGTCTATCCAATTTAGTAGATTGATTTCTTTTTATTTTTATTTTGTAGGCTATGTATAAAGTACAACACGAGTTGTTGTCCGTGTATGCAACCCAATTGCTTGAGAAGGAGCACTCCGGATGTCACGTGTTGCTTAGGGATGACAAGGTACTCACGATACTTATTTTATTATTGAATAAATTAGCTACTATATATGATCCCAAAGCACGGGAATTTATCAACACCATTTTTAATCCACTAGGTAGAGGATTTGTCAAGGTTGTATAGGCTCTTCTCCAAAATACCTTGAGGCTTAGATCCCGCTGCTGTGATATTTAAGCAGGTTTGTGATCTTCCATTTGTACTGCTCTCTATAATTTATTAATTTGTCCTCTGTATCCAATACATACTTAATTCCTAAGTGCAACATGTTACTGTCGAAGGTACAACTTTGGTTAAACAAGCAGAAGATGCTGCTAGCAACAAGAAGGTTTGCAATTTTATGTCTACTTGACAGATTTTTGGTTGTGTAACTTCTCTTAAGAATGTACTTGCAAATTTTTCCTGGGTTATAATCAACTTATTGTGATTATGGCTCTTTACAAATGGCTAGTCACTTCTAGAAAAAATATAAGTCAATGGAAATCTGAAAATTATTACTACACTTCGGTGTTTACATTATGAAGCTTCTTTTGCCGGCAGAAAAGAGAAATGTCATTGGATTACAGGAACATGTAATTATCCCTGAATTCTTTGGAGCGTCGTTATAGTTTCACACTGCTGGACTTATGTTTGGCATTCAGGTTTTTGTCTGAAAAGTTGTCGTAACTCCATGACAAATTCATGGTATGTGTGAATGACTGCTTTTTAAATCATTCACTCTTCCACGAGGTTAAGATTTAGACATTGCTGCATACCATTATCCTTACAATTAGGTGTTGATATGATTTTCCTATTTTTACATCTTTCTAGGCTCTCAAGGAGGCGTCTGAAGTCATCTGCAACAAGAGTGTTTCTGAAAGTTCTAGTGCAGAACTTCTTGCCCCGTTTTGTGATAAAATTCTCAAAAATGGTGGGAGTAAAAAATTGAGTGATGAAGCCATTGAAGAGACATTGGAGAAGGTGTGTTTATCGTGTTTTACAATATTGCGTTGTCCTTTATTTGGTAAAACACGTAGAAAGATTTGATTGAGGTTCTGTTCACTTCCTCGTGTGGTAAAACTGCTTGTTTATATTAGTGATAAGGATCTTTTTGCTGAATTCCATAGGTATAATTCCCGACTTGATGGTTTGGATTTTCAATCATTTAAGGACATAATATATTTCATATGATAAGATGATTGATTTGTATTGCTATTTTTTCAGGAAAAAGCTTGCATGGTGGCTATTATGTGATAAGAGTGCCAGTGATGAGCATGAGAGAAGTATCCTT